AGCCCTCCTCCATGTGCTCAAAGTTCTTGCGAAATAGCACTTCCCACAGGGTGGCCTCGAGTCTTCAGTTGGACAGGGCCCTGCTGTATTAAGCTCTCAGAGGACAAGGACCAGTCTTATTCATCTGCGTCCCCAAGGCCTCGTTCAAAGAGGGCGCCAAAATATGTGTGTTAAATAAAAGTTAATTATCACCACTGAATACAATTGTGAGGACAATGAAGATGTGACTGCTTGCAAAGATATGTCATCCATATACGTGGAAAAAAACCTACATTGGCAGTTTGACAAGTGAGGGTGAATGCATACACGCTTTTCCCCAATGGTACGTAGCACTACAAAATGCAGTAAACCCCCCAATAAAAGCAAAAATATCAATTTGCTTATTTTTAGCAACACAGCATCAAGATATATGTAAGTAATTTTAGAAGGAAAAGTTACTGTAGTCTACATTCTGCTTGAAAAATAAACCCCCTTGTAACACGCCCATTCGTTGAGCCACTGGAGTGTTTTGCCCACTGCAGCCGTGACCCTGAGGCTGACCTGTCCCTCCCCCCATGACCACTCCCTTTTGCCCCCTTGCTCTGCAATCAGCTGGGATGCTGAGATCAAGTGAACTTGTTTTAAAATTAGAGAAAAGCTATCAGCCCAAAACTTAAACAAAACAAAAAAAGCACCTCTCTACATAATACATCACACACAAGTGACATTCCATTACAATACAATTACATCTCTAACAACAGTAACACAATCCAAGGTGACTTCACTTTCTTGCAGCAAATAGCCCATGACTTTGTAAAGCTAAGGAGGCAAGCTGCTGAGCTCACAGATGCTGATGAAATAGCCTTACTTGGTTTCAGCCCGGGAGCCACGGAGAGAAGGGCTACTAAATTTAGACGGCGAGCTGATTTCATCACTAACCTGCCCTCCTGACAGGTCTCGGCAGACAGAAGGAAGGAGGCACAGCGGACACCACAGGGATGGGATCAACCTACTTAACAAGCCCAGACGCCACCGAAAGTGGCCACAGAGCACCGGCCCTGCAGGTCCTGGGCGTGGCTGTCAGCCCCACCCTCCGACCCCGCGGGGAGCCACCTGGGACCCAGATCTGTCAATGTGACTACAAGGACCACCATACGATCAGCAGTTCTTCCGGAAGAAGAAAAGACCAGAAATTTGACCCAAGGCAAAGCTTGAAACAATTAGGAGAAGCACAAGTTGAAATGGAATTCAGTCCTGGTATTTTTCCTGTCTTTTTTTTTTTAAAAGATAGTTAAGAAAATACCTAACTTTCCATCTAAAAATGACTGAATTCAAATGACATTTTATTAAAATACTAAAAAGCTCAGGACAATAACTGAGCTGCTCACCAGGCAGTGACAGGGCCGTCAGCTGTTTGCTGGGCCTGTGCGGGAGGGCGGGCGGAGGGGCGGCAGCCCAGAGGGAGGGCGGGCTGCACCCGCCTGTGGGAGTGGGGGGGCTGATGGTCAGGTGCTCGCTGGCCAAGCGCTGGTAGTGACCCAGCCGTGGACCAAAAGCTCGTTAGGGCAGAGATGAGGGGTGGAAAGGAACAGGAAATTGTATGTTTCTTCTGCTCCCCTCAGACGCCCCTTCCCCATTCCTTTCCGTGCTTCCTCGCCACACTGCCCACTACCTTTTCTATCACCTCCAAAAACAGGTGTCTTGCTAAAGCCGCTTTTCGGGGTTTTTAGAACCGAGCTGCCCTCTCTCCCTCTTGAGTGCTTTATAAAATACCCAGTACATTGGTTTGGGCTGATACTGAAGTCCAACAGAACATCCCACCCTTCCAAAAGCCCTATACATTTTATAAACGATTCAACTAAAACGTGAAATATTTTTATGCAGAGCCAACCTGATAGTTTACGGGGCTTAGGCCCCCCCATTCCACTATGGGAAACCCCAAAATATTACTACTTTTCAAAACAGATTCAGGTGAGCAGTATACCTGGTGGTATAGGTGGTATTCACTCCCACTGACAGTCTCTCTCCATTTATACATTTTTTTTTTTTTGCTTGAACTTGCTTTTCACCAGACATAAAGTTGAATGCAAACCAAATACATATATGATTATCTGATGCAGATTTAACGTTCAAAGAAAATTTTCATAAGATGATATCCTTGGGATAAAATAACAGGCGATAAGAGTGCGTCACCGTTTTACAATTTACTGCAATGTATTTCCAAGTGTCCTACCTTCTCACACCATTTTCCCTTTAAAGAGTTTTTAAAATGCTCACATTAGAAACACATGGGAGGTTATTTATGATAAAGGCAGGGCATTCTGAAGGAAATGGAATGCAAATGTGGACACATCAGGTCAGCTTTTTATGAGCTAGAGAAAAGCTGAGTTAGTGTTCATATTAGCTGGAGGGAGATCTCTTAGCTCAGTGGTCAGCAAACTGCGGCTCGCGAGCCACATGCGGCTCTTTGGCCCCTTGAGCGTGGCTCTTCCACAAAATACCGACTTCTGCGCATGGGCCACTAAGTTTCAATCGCACTGTACATGCGCGCCCGCACGTGGTATTTTGTGGAAGAGCCACACTCAAGGGGCCACAGTTTGCCGACCACCGTCTTAGCTGGAAATGCAAAACGAAATAGGAAATAGTGCAAACCGAAAAAAAACCAAGGGGGGGGGGCTGCCAGAATTAGAGCCTAAGTCTTCAGAAAGAGAGTAGGAAATAACTGTGTGGAACAAGGAAAAAAGTCAGTCTCAACAGGTGAAGCTGTTTTGTGTATGCAAACTCCTAAAATACAATCACATTTCAACGGCAAGGAGTTCACATGGAACAGACCTGTCGAATCTCACAAGGAAGGTGGGGGAGGGTGGGTGGGTGGGAAGAGAGCAACCAAAGAACTTGTATGCTTATACGCATAACCCATGGACACAGACAGTAGGGTGGTGAGGGCCTGGGGCGGAGGGTAGGGGCAGGCTAGAAGGGGTCAGTGGGGGAGGGCGGAAAGGGGGACTTACGTAATACTTTCAACAATAAAGATTAAAAAAAATAATAGAGGAATTGAAATAAAAGTTGAGGGAAATATATTACCCAAGCAATGTGACTATTCGGAAGTATAATGAGGGTCAATCACTTAGATCGACAGTATTTGGTTTTGTTTTCATCCTAACAGCACTGTCCTGGCTGCCTTAAATGTCTTCTAGAACAATGAGAGGCATAAATAAGTAAACTCATAAATAAATAAACAGAGAGATAGCACTCTCCCGCTAAACGCCACCGCTAAAGACAAAAGTCACAGACTAAATTATGGATAAGGACACTGCGCCAGGTAGGGCTCTGGGTAATTTAACTACAGTCTTAGTGGTTTGGGTTTTCTCAGAAATGCACTGCGAGCTCCTGGCGGCAGCACACAGCACGGGGTGGGGGGGCTTGTTCTGATGCAGATTGTGGGCTTCACACCCAGATAAACGAGGAAGAAGGTCAAGGAGCTTAAGAATGTGCATTTCCAAGCAGCTCCCAGGAGGGCATACATGCATAACTTTTACACTTTGAAGGTTTGACTTTAAAGAAACTATTGCCTAAAACAAACAAACTTTTTTTTTTTTCCAGCAAAAACATGTTTCAGAGCAGAAAGGTATCTCTAAATCTAAACTCTATTCTCGGCACTGTCTGCCTTGTAGTCTCTGGTAGCCAGTGAGCCATCCCAATGGAAATTCTCTGCTTAGCAGAGATCAAAAGTGTTTCTACAGGTTTCCTCAAGCCACACCTGGCGGCACTGCGGCTGGGTATGGTTGCAAAAGGCACGCCAATGCCTACTTTAAGGTAACCGTACAGATCTTGCTTCAGAACCCGTCACAAATGCTGCTTAACATTTTGGTGAATCTGGCTTGAGGAATTTGAAAGATCTGCAAAGAAACTATGTATATTACTCATAACATTTTATTTATCTAAGAAAAACACACCTCTGATTTGCTCTCATTTGCTAGCAAAACCTCCCCACTGACCTGCACAGGAAGCTCCTATGGGTTCTTTTAACAGAAGAACCGTGACTGGGAATTTCCTCTCGGACTCTTCCTCGCCCTCTTCTGTCCTGTGCCTCTTTTTCTGATAACCAGCCCCATCCCCCTTATCCACATGTACATTCACCCGCTCTGTGGGTAAGATGCGCATTCACTGCAATACAAAGCGGTATGCGCGATTAGCAAAGGGACTGCTAATGACAGAGGGACCTGTGCTAGTTGTGTGGGTTTTCGGGGAGCAAATTAAAAATAAAATGTGAGGGAGCTCCAGAATGCACAGCAAGAGCAGCACAATGAAGACCTGACCGGGTGGCGGGGTGGTGATCTGAAGTTCAGTGAGATGCACGGGGCGTTTTATTCTGGAAGGGCAGGCGCCGAGTCTCAGGGGGCCCTGCAGGGGGAGCGACGACCAGCAGACTTTAAAATGCGAATGGGATTTTACCAAACACGACAGGAAGAGGAAAGACCCCAGCAAAGGGCGTGAGGAAGGGCTCTGGGATGCAGAAGGGAGAGAGTCTTCAGGGAACAAAGTGTTTGGGGGGCTGGGGCGCAGGGGAGAGATGCGCACAGTGAAACCGAGGAGAGGGGCTGCAGCCAGAACAGAAAGGACCTTCTCAGCCGCAGGGAGAGTTTGAATCTTTTCTCCAGGGGAGGACAACGCGGAGCCCTGAAGGTTTTGAGGGACAAGAGAGCTGCAAGACCCAACCTGTACTGCAGCACCAGAAGGTGGTGGTGGGCAGGGGATGGGAGAGGAGAGGCCGAAGACCAGGCAGGAGGCAGCGCAGAGCTCCAGCGAGCCCAGCCAAAGGCTGCGTCGGGATGGCTTATGCTCTCAGATGCTCGAGGGCTGGTCCCGCCAACACCCCTTAGTCACACCCGAGTCCTCCCCTTTAGTGATAGGGCAGTGCTGACACGCTTCTCCTGCCCCGAAGACACCAGCTGTGGTTCATGAAATCACACTCCACTCGACAGGGAACCGTTAGGTAGACACTGAGAAGAGGGTCTTACCTGAGCAGAGCTGTTCCACTTTCGTGTAGTTTAAAGATACGATGTCATTAACCCATGCGATGATGTCATGTCTGCTCATAGTCTCCTGGGTTATCGAGGTAGAATACACATTGACCGCCATTCCCCAACTAGAAAACAAACAAACAAACAAACATGTTTATTTGCCTAGGAGGAAAAAATTAACTCGGAAGCAGGGCATCCGCTGAAGGTGGGCGTCCCAGGCAGCACTCGAAGGATGGAGAAGCCCTGCTCTGGCTAAGCCCTTTCTCCTCTTTCTATTCTCCACATCTGCCACTTTAGGTTCCTATTATTTACAGGCTTTGTCTCCATTTCTAATATCTCCCTTGCAGTGTTTTCACTGTGGAAGGAACTGGGCTGGTTGTCCTGTAGAGGTCCCACAGTCTGGATTCTGCTCACTGCCTCCCCTTGGTGTGATTTAACACATTCCTCTGTCCCCTGTATTCTTTTTTTAACGCTTAAAAAATGTTAAGTGGAGTTGGTATACAATACTATATTAGTTTCAGGTGTGCAATAGAGTTGTTGGGCTTTTTATACCTTACAATGCGATTGTGGCCCTTGTGTTTTATACACGGGCACTTGGATCGAAAGGTTGATCTGACTCAAGTTCTAACTGAGGGGTCGGGTGGCAAGACTACCTGACTGCGTGTCCGAGCTCCCAGCAGGAGGCACAGGATGCCTGACTGACCCCTGTGATTCGGTAGCCATGGTGGCATCTGCCTACACCTCACAGTTCTTTAGAGACTTCGAAGTGACAGTCTGCTCTTCATTCTTGACCTTCTAGCTGGAGTAACTCTATAAAGAGAAATTTCCCCCTGAGGTGCCAGTCATATCAGAAAGGCAGGAAAGATGCCTGGTACTTTTCCTTAATTTAGCAATTTTCTAAATAAAGAGGCAGTTCCCTGATAGTTTCCAAAGATAACAACCAGGGTTTGATCTTTGAAGTGTAACAATGCACTCATGGACCTAAACGTATGTGACATGCTTCAGTCCAGGCCGTTTCTCTCTCTCCTGACATCAGCTTGCGGAGGGGAACTCGGGCTGGCTCTGAGCTGTCCTGCGAGGTCCTGGAAGTCTTTGGTAATGTCCTTGCTTTCCGGTACGACACCGTGGTCCGGACCCGCACTGTACATTTCCTGCCTCGGACCCCAAACCAGGCATTTCTCTAGAGGCTCCTCATCCCTTTTACTGTACACGGGAGTCAGAGATAATATTTTTAAGCACGACTATATATGACCAAAAAAACTACAGTTTTATAGATTTTTACATGAAAATCTACAGATTTATGAAACTGTGTTCGGCATTCTTATTAACTCTAAAGACGCAATAAAAATCTGTTTTTTACTAAAAATAAATGAATACCCGTCCACCCATCCTTAAAAGCACCCTCCTCTCTAAATTCTCTTCCCCTGAAGACACTCATGCCATTGGCACTCGGATAACGGGAGCATAATTCCTGCTTTTCCACCACAGTATCGAAGGCTGTTTATTTGTTGGTTAATAACTTCCACTGTTTTCTTTAGTCTATCGTTTATTAAACAAAACCATTGCCTTAAACACCCATCCAAAGTTTTAATCAACTTTGTAAATTACATAAATCCTTAAAAGATAAATAATTCAAAATTTAAAGTATTGTGGATGTCGGGTGGGATTTCCGCATGCTGGCCTCCTCCCGGCACCGGTACGCTTTCTAAGGCCTCTCAGGCCGTGCTGAGAGCTTCCGCCTTCATTCCCAGGCAATGTATCCACGACGGAGGGTGAGGCACCAGGGCCCAGACTGTGCTGGACGGCAGCAGGCCAAACTGGGCTGAAATGCTCGTCTAGATGACTTCCAAACAAAACGGAAACCATGCAGGGGAGAGACGACGGACCTCTGTTTTAGAAGGTTAAAGCCATCTACTCGTGAGTACACGTGTGGTTCCCTAAGAGAAGGAGTGTACGCAGGGCAGGGCGAAGAGCTGTGCTGGCTTTTAAAGAATCCAGGAAAACAAGGAAGCAAGTCGTGCTGCAGGCGCTGTCCATGAATCACAATCTCCTCCAGGTCTTTCCTGAGAACGTCCACCTACTCACCTACTCACCTACTCACCCAGGGACAGCAATCCTTCCCCATCTAAACAGACGCCAAGCAAAGCCCTGTGCCCTCAGGGGCTCAGAAGATGACCAGTGAACAATGAACAGCATCTGCTTTTTGCTTGAGAAAAACTCCAAGCACTTTTTACTAGATGGTAGTCACTAGGCTCAGCACTCTCACCTCCACCATGTCTCCCCCCAACCCCTCCCAACCGGCGCAGCTGCAGCCCCAGGAACCCGGTGGAAAGAGCAGCCACCTGCCAGGGACCAGCGGGAAAGCCAGGGTAGAGAACAGACCGAGAGGAAGGGTGAAGAGGAATATTTTCTGAAATAGAACGACACATTAAGTAGATTTCCATACCTATTTCCAATGAATAGTAATGGAATCAACGTAGTTAACGTCTCATTACATCCATGCTGATTAAAATATTATGACCTTTCTCCTCCAAATTTCGCCAAAATACTCCTAAGTTCACCTCCCTCTGTGGTTGCCTCTCACACCCTTTGTGAGCCCCCACCCCATGGGCAATGCCTTGGATTTGGGCGAGAGCCCCGGTTCCGTCCTTCTCTGCAGAGGGGGGCATGCTCTTCCCCTCCCCAGTCAGGGGCCTCCCAACCTTTTCTCAATCCTTCCGCTCCCACCTTCTCTACGGGTGCGACTCCCACAGAGCCAAACCTCGGCTCTCCGGGTGGCCAGACAGCTCACAGAACGACATGCACAGCTGTCTCAATACGACACCAGGGCCAACGAGAGAGCGCCTCACAGTCTCAGCTCTTCCGTGGACACCCTCCGCAACCCCAAGGTCGTACTACACTTTCTTGGGTGTCGACCTATCTGACCGTGCACAGGCAGGAGTACCTGCCCCGGCTCGTTCTTCAGACATGTCGTGTGGATGACAAGGAGTTTCTCTATCATTTTAGAGTTGACGTGACCCCGTGCTCCCATTCTGATCCCTGAAAAAATTCTCTGAAGGCAGCAGGGCAGGAACTATATTGTTTCCTGACAAACGGGGGTGCCCAGTGCTACCGAAGGTAAGTGTCAAAGTGATTCAACGTATTATATTTCTTGACCTTGAGTAACTTCCAACAGTTCGGTCAAGAAAAGTAAATGGTTAAGACGGGAGAGTGACATCCCATGTCGCGCCCGGCAGGCTTGTCCTCCGTTTGGGTCCTCGGCCGCCTTTTACCCGGAAACGAGTTTATTCTTAGACGGACCTCCATCTGGTCCCCAGGACGTAACCATCTCTCTCAGCGCCGTCCCTGCAGAGGAAGGGAAGTCGCAGCCCTGGCCTACAGTCTGTGGCTCAGGCAGGTTCCTGACCAGCCACACGTGCTTAGAGCTGTCAGGACGGCGGAGCATCACAGCCGCGGGCCTCTATAGGTCAGCATGGCAGCTGCATTTTATTTTAAAGTGAATTTTAATGCATTGCTCCTACTGGGAAAGAAACCAGTAACCACAACGTATCTTTACATTGTTTTTGTGACTGTTTGAATACCTTTCTTGAAAACTGGCTCTACACACACACACACACACACACACACACACACACACATTTCTTCAAACAGGAGAGAGAAAACACACACAGAAAAACAAGCCCCACCCCCACCCCATACCTCCCGCAGGCGAAGGCACTGCTGGGGCTTGTCTGTGCACAGTGACCACTGACCCACTGGCTCAGAACAGAGCAGCCTGGGCCTGAGGCCCTGCGATTCGCCCTGTGTCGGCCCTGTGGGGCCCGGAGGCAGGGCGAGCTCAGGCTGTGCAGCAGCCACTCACCAGGCCGAAGAGGAACTGCATGTGGCCCAGGAACAAGGAATGCCAGGTGACAGCCTGAGCGATCCTACTGAGCCAAGCCCGGATGGAGGCTGGGCAAGCCCTGAACCGTGGGAACCAGGATGTGAGTCCCACACCGCACCAGCCGTGGCCCCCCCCCAAAACACACAACAGCTCTGGCTGAGAACAGATCTGCCAACCTTTATGAATTATTCCGGAAGGGCGTCTCCTCAGAATTTGACAAATCTATAAAATGTCACAGCTAGCTCTGCATGCGGCATCACATGGAAGTCTTTCTTCTGTAATTCGTGTGGTCGCTCTGCCTCACCCTAGCCTTACAAACAGAGCCCCGCCACGTGTGCGTGCCGGATGTGCGGTCTGTGTGTGTGTGTGTGTGTGTGTGTAGTGTGCGTATATGTGTATGTCTCTGTGTGTGGTGTGTTGGGTGTGTGTGTTTAGTCTCTGTGTGCATGTGTGTAGTGCGTTTGGTATATGTGTATGTCTCTGTGTGTGCATGCATGTGTGTGGTGTGTTGGGTGTGTGTGTGGTATATGTGTATGTCTCTGTGCATGCATGTGTGTGTTTTGTTGGGTGTGTGGTGTGTATATATATAGTATGTGTATGTCTGTGTGTGCATGTGTGTGTAGTGCGTGTGGTATGTGTGTGCGTGTGTGCGTGTGTGTGGTGTGTTGGGTGTGTGTGTATGTGTATATCTCTGTGTGTGCATGTGTGTGTTGTGTTAGGTGTGTGTAGTCTCTCTGCGTGTATGTGTATGTTTGTGTGTGTGCATGTGTGTGGTGTGTGTGCATGTGTGTGTGTGGTGTGTTGGGTGTGTGTGTATGTGTATATCTCTGTGTGTGCATGTGTGTGTTGTGTTAGGTGTGTGTAGTCTCTCTGCGTGTATGTGTATGTTTGTGCGTGTGCATGTGTGTGGTGCGTGTGCATGTGTGTGTGTGGTGTGTTGGGTGTGTGTATGTGTATATCTCTGTGTGTGCATGTGTGTGTTGTGTTAGGTGTGTGTAGTCTCTCTGCGTGTATGTGTATGTTTGTGCGTGTGCATGTGTGTGGTGCGTGTGCATGTGTGTGTGTGGTGTGTTGGGTGTGTGTATGTGTATATCTCTGTGTGTGCATGTGTGTGTTGTGTTAGGTGTGTGTAGTCTCTCTGCGTGTCTGTGTATGTCTGTGTGTGTGCTCTGTGTGTGTGTGTGTGTGTGTGGTGTGTTGGGGGTGTGTGCGTATGTGTATATCTCTGTGTGTGCGTGTGTG